CCTTGATAATATTAAAGTTTTCAGAAGATTTGTATATCAGAGGAATATTAAAAGGAATTTAGACTTATAAAACATATCATTAAAAATATGAATATAGTGAATTCCATGTTTATATTGTGTTTAATATCATCTCTAGAAATTAACAGTTTATAAACCAAATCCTTGTTATATTTTTTAACTGCTTTATAGCTTTCCTTATATGTTTTAATATTTGCCAGCAGTTTAGTAGGTTAGGGATGCAACAGCACTTTTCAAATTATTGAATTATAACCAAATTTTGTGTCTGGATAGGAATTACTATTAAAGATTTACAGTTTGTAATGATAGAGTTGGAGCAAGTTAAGCTGCAATGTGCCTCAGTTTGCCCTTCCTTGTTATTTTAAGCTGTTTAACGCCAGAATTTTTTCTCGTCAAGGGGAAAGTATTGGACTTGGTATTTGAATGGGTTAACCAGTCCATCTGCATGTCTACCTATCTTTGGTTAATTATCTCATTAGATCATTAAGCCACCCGATCATTAGTGCACCCTATTTTGTTATTTCACTGTACTTCTGGACAGGGATGGATCCAGCATGATCTGGTAGGGGGGAGGGGTCTGGTGCCGACTGCCGAGTTGTGTCGGTCATGTGTGCCGCCCGCCCATCAACTACTGTATTTGAATTGTAATTGTTGTTCACAGTTCACTTATCATCATGTTATTACTCAAATTACTGTATCTCATTTTGTCTTTTTTGCTTTATCATGAAAAATAGCACCACACACCCCAGTAAATCCATCCCTGCTTCTGGACAATATTTCTTATCAATGGCCGGAAATGTACTTGACTTCATGTTGATTACTGCCATTAATTAATTAACTACTGTACTAAATAGGACATTCAAGGTTGGAGATATAATAGCAATAGAGGTTGCTATCATTGTAGCATTCAGGGGCGTCGCTAGCCCAAATTGTCAGGCATTTGGCAATTTATTGTATCGCAATCGGGAAATTGTTTTCGTGGCCAGCATGATTTGAATTGGATAGGAAGGGAAAAAACTGAAATATATGAGTTTTTGTTGCCCCTCCCCTTCTCAGAGTAGGTATGTGTTGTTTTATAGTGTAAATAACAAGTTTTGATATTGCAATCAAACTGACAGGGTAGTTGTCATGACCATGGTAATAAAAATATTTCTATGGCTTGGCATTTATATTGGGCAATTTTTTATCATTCATCACAAAATTATACCTGCATCTAGGTGGTTCCCTGCAGGGGGTCATAACCAGGGGGAAGCTGATGAAAATGAATTCTGGTATTGGTGGCTGATCACTATCATTTAATATGAATAGAACATTTCTTAAAAAAAGTATATTAATTTATTAAAAATATTTCTATGGTCTCCCAATCTGGAATTCATACTTTGTAACATTTGGATCAAAAGGTTTATGACGTTTTCTTGGACAGAATCCAATTAATACAACCTCGTACAGAGGGCAGGGCTTCTTTGAATTACTGTGTGGACAAGATTAATGAAGGGATTGCCAATTTGGCATATTGTACTGCTCAATAAATTAAAATCATTAAATACTCTATGCCACAATTAGCTGTAATATTATACTGTATATTATTGTGTTTCATATGACGTCATAAATTTGACGGGGGGGGTCAACTCTAAATCGAGACACAGTCATCAGAGTGAATTCATTTTTCACTGTATGTGTTGGCCTTGTGTTTGGTGGCAAATACATGCAATTTCATATCATTTGCTCACTCCAGTACAGCATAAGCATCAATACATTTTAGGTTGACCCCACTCAGAACGCGTAAAATGCGATAGTGAAACCCAAGAATTCATTATATGTATTAGGTGTATGCAGACTGGAAAAATACAAGTTAATATATCACTGCCTGTGAAATTGTGGTTTATTTAGAGAATAAAGGTTTTTTGAACTCTTCTATAAATAAATTATAACAGCAAAAGATTCACATGCACCCATATAGGGAAGGGTTAGATGCTACAAGTTAATAAAATGAGTATTACATACTCCTGCACTTGAAAAGTTTACAGTACAGTATAACATTAAATAATAAAATATATAACAGTAAATCCTAAGACTGGATTTATTGAAACTAGTCATTAGCCAGTTCTTCGCAATTAAATAACACAAAGACAAATTAATAAAAGTTATTAACCATTTCTGACACAAATAGTATTTGCAAAATATAGCACATATTTGATATTATAGTCAAATAGTACAGTTTACTGACAGTACTGTATACTATGTATAGATTAAAACTACAGAAAACCTGTACAACACAAGTATGAGTAATGTTTTCCCGCTCCATTTAACTGTTGTGATATTATACGCATTAAGTATACGTTTATTTGCATTTCCTTTGTAGTATTAGTATATAGCACAGCTCTGAAAAACCAAAACAATATTCGTACACTCCTAAACGGCCGCCATGTTGTATATAAAAATATACGGTTAAAAATTATTTTTTGCAAAATTGCAACATTCCATTGTATATCAGCAACCAATCATATTCATTTCTGACATGAATTATCCCAGAGCCTTCGTTTCCTTCCCAAGGATCGCAGGCTCGGGGAACGAGATTGGCGTCTGTCCACATCTTATCTTTTTCAGCGTATCAAATGACCTATCTTCCCAAATTTTTATGCTGGTATCATAATTTGCATAATTTTTGTAATAAGCTCCCTCACTATAACTGTGTCAAATGCTTTGCATAGATCAAGGAAAAGAACACCGTTTATCAACCCAGCACCCATATTCAGTAGCCATGAATCAGTATTTTCTAAAAGAGCTGTTGTGGTTGAGTGACCTTTTCGAAAACCGGACTGACATGGGCTCAGAATATTATTTTTGGTTAAAAATATATTGAGTTGCGAACAAGCAAGCTTCTCAAACAGTTTTGCAATTCTCGAGAGTATAGATGATTGTTCATGAATAATTGTTCATGAATAATCGATCAACCTTTAAAAAGTTAAGTGAATATCAACATATTTCTAATTTACTAAGATTTTTTAAAAAATAGAAAAATTAAAACACGAGCTGGTACCTGATGATTCCTCTACTATCATTCCTTGCATCTCCACTTTTAAGCATGGTATTGTTTTACGTTTTCCTTTTGGAAACTCTATTCTCACAATTCGACCTTCAATCGGTTTGCCAAATAAATGCTTTTGGATATGGTTATTGAAGTTAGCCTGTTGAGTAAATCATACGTAAATTGTTAATACCTGTATGTCTACATTATTTGTGTTAGCTTGCTAAGTTTATAATACTTTTTGTTTGTGGAAACACCACGTCAATTTATACAGTAATAAATTTACGTGGTGTTTCCACAAACAAAAAGTATTAATATATGTTTTATCGGCCTGTAATCCTATACAAAAAACTTGCTAAGCTTGTTAGGTTAAACAACTAATTCCATTTCTAATTAATATCTTGTCTGATAAATGAGTTACGTAATAATTTGTAACTTACTTTAAAGTTGGTGTTTGATTGCTTCCAATTTGCATAATCATCAGAGTAAGATATACTAAAATCCCTTGTGAAGTTATCGCCAGAATACGGTTTACCTTGAATTGAAACGGCGAATATGTAATATTTATCAACCAGGATAAGCTCAAGATAGGAAGAACGATATGCACTAAAAGGACACCAAAATGTATCAGGTGGTTTGTACAATCTGCCATTGCGCGGATTGATTTTTTCATTATTATTATCAAACTGGTCTGAAGATGTAGCGAAGCTTTCGTCCAAAAAGATCGCAGATTTTCCATATTGCAAACCAATATCTTCATTTACAAGTTCTAAATAAAAAAAAAACAAACAAAAAATAATTTCGAAATGCTTTATACAAACTTTTGTCTGTACGAAGCTGGTTGGAAACAATAAAATTTAATTTTAATTTAATTTATTTTTTTTTTCCTGCAGGTACAAAAAAGACCACAAATCAAAAGAAAAAGAAAGGGAAAAAGCGACGGCGAAGGGCTAGAATGAAACATGAAGAATCATCCATAACCACCATGCACGGCCCTGAATAACTACATGACGCTATGCAAGACTATACAACATTATACTACACTACAGGGTGTCCCCCAAAAAATGTCCCCTATCATATTTTGTGGTGCTACATCGTTACCTGTAATCGAATATTCAAATTTTTTCTTTTTTTATCAATGAACATATTACGTTAATCGTTGCATTTTTTCGCACCAAAATTTTAAGCGTTCGCCTTCTAGAGTTACTTAAGCCTTAAGGTGGCGACACCAATATTGCCACTTGTCCAAATTGTGGATATTAGGTTTAAACATATTACGGAACGTAATAAAATAGTTTGATGGTAAATGGCTACATATCTTTTCTAAAACTTGCAATTAGTTGTAGCCAAAATCGCGAATTGATTTTCTGTAAAAATAATGAAGCAATCCCCAGAAAAGGGGAACTACGGAAGCCGTGAAGGGACTTCAGACTTCAGACTTCAAACTTCAGACTTAGACTTCAGACTTCAGACTTCAAACATTGGTTCCGAGCTTCGCTAATAGCCAACATTGCTTCTGCGAAGCTGGCTAATATTTAAGGCACTTATTCAGTTAAAGCTATTCAAACTAAAGTTAAAAATGGTCAGAATGATTTAGATTGTAAATGCAGACTGTTGGAATGTGTCAGTGAGTTCTGAAAGTTCTTTGCAGGTTTAAACGCAGAACGATAAAAACATATAATACTATTGTTTGCAGAAACACCACGTAAATTTATTACTGAAGTAAATTTATTAACTTTATTCTGTAAATCTATCAAGTTAAGTATAACACGCACTCAAAACTAATGCGTATAATATACCACTTGAGGTTATGACTAAATTCAAAATTTTTATTTTTCGAAACGTTTCTCAATCGGCAAACAAACTTAAAAGTATGTTTAGTGCTTTATCTGTAAAATAATGCTAAATTGAAGAGATTTTAGA